CCAGGCCACCTTACCAGCATCACACAGGAAGTGATATCATCATGCCACTGATGTCTGGAGAATGCTCTGGTATTTGGGCAAAAACTCTATGCTAGAAGCTGTTTTTACCATAGAGTTTTTGCTCAAGTAACAAAGCATTGCAGCGACATCACAGCTCGACAACATCACTTCCTATACAACAGCAGAAACATGGCCTGGGCTTTCCTTTTTCTCCTGGTATGTCTCACCATCCCTCACCAGTTGCCAGGAGGGACCTGGGAACTCCACAAAGTCCAGAAAAAGCAGTTAAAGAGATGGGGGAGATTGCCTGGCTTAGGAGAATGAAGACCCTGGGTTGTCTCTGGAATTGCATAACAAATAATTATAGCAGGAACTTATGCTACTTCTTCCTCACAATCTCTATGGCCAAAGAAATTGCCAGCCATGAAGGGCACCACATCAGATTGCTTAGTTTATTCGGGATGGGTCAGTGCTGGGCTGACATGTTCTGGGCTGTCCATTCCTTGACGCAAGAGCCACGTAGCAGAGGGAGGATGTTACCTGCCATGGCTGGACACCCTGAAGCCTCTCGCCATTCCCCATCATTGCACGTCTTGGTCCAAATGTGTACATGGCATGTAGCGCATGTGCCACAGAATAAACAGCATTGTAAACATTATAGCTGTTTCCAGTCATGCTCATTTCGAATACAGAGGGTGGGAGGTTCTCGAGGTCCTCCTTCCCTGTACAGTTCTTAAAGCCTCCAGGGAAATCATTTGGCTTTTTAAATAAACATAGGAACACAAGTTTCCACCACTCTTTAAGGAAGACGTCTCCCTGGGGATGGCGTGGATCTAAAGTCCGGAGAAAACTGTGGAACCCTGGCACATCACTTGTGTGGCCTCTGAAGAAGAGGGCACCATGGAAGATTTCTGCCATCCTCCAATGATTGAAGGAGCCCATGGAAGCAAATTCCCACTGGCTCATCACAATCCAGATCTTCTCAAGAGATGTCTTAGTCTTTCGTTTGTGTCCTAAAAGGTGTAGGATTAAATTCCGTATGACATTTGAGTTGCCGGAGACAACCACAACTTTGGCCTTAGCATCCGAGAGAGCTATAGCTAGATTCACATCATTAACTGGTCTTGTATAGTACACTGAGATTTCAGACAAGGTCCGTTTAGTGAACTCGACACAGATGTTGTTCTGGTCAAGCATTGGTGTTAGGGCTTGGATGAAGTTTTCTCCGCTGTCATCATCTGGAGCAACAATCCCAATCCAGTTCCAGTGGAAATGAAGAAGTAAGTGGATTATCCCCAAATACTGTGGGACTTCACTGGGGTCAATGAGGTAGAAGGAAGGAAATATGCTCCTCTCTTTCAGAACAGGACTGAAGGAGCCATAACCGAGCTGGTGGAAGGAAGGAAGACTTTCAGCTGAAAAACAGATTTCTTCCCCCCCCCCCAAAATAGATTTTCATTTCATTTATGTAAAACAAACAAAAAACAAGCAGATTTCTTCACGGCTCCACAAAAATCAGGGCTGTGGAGGTAATGCCATGTCGTTGACTGGATTTTCCTCTTCTTTCCCAAGAAATAATTTCTTGCTGTCTCAGAGTCTGATCTATTGGTCTGACAGGGATGAAATGGTTGAGGAAAAGAAGGCACTGAGTTTAGCAATGCAGTCAACTGGGTCATGAAGTGCTTCTGAGAAAGAGAAATGAAGAAACCACTCTAGGACACACAGTATCTGTGTGTAAATGTGCATGTACGTATGCGTATGCGAGTAATTAACATGTGGAATTCACCGCTGCAGGAAGTGGTGGCAGCTACATACATAGATAGTTGGAAGAGGGGATTGGAGAAACATATGGAGCAGAGGTTCCTCAGTGGCTATTAGCTACAAGGTACAGAGGAAACACTCTGTCTGGGGCAGTGATGCTCTGTATTCTTGGTCCTTGGGGGGCAACAGTGGGAGGGCTTCTGGAGTTCTGGCCCCGTAGGTGGACCTCCTGATGGGATTTGGCCACTGTGTGACAAAGTGTGTATGACTGGATGGGCCATTGGCCTGATCCAACATGGATTCTCTTATGTTCTTATGAGCGCATTTCTGCCACTTCCCAAATATGACTCTGGACCTGTCAGTTCCTCTCCTTTGTATTTAGCTCACCAGCACCAAAACAGTGCATTTGCCTTCTTTCCAGTCAGAAATCACTGTGTGGCTGACTTGGGGGAGTGGTGGTGGTAGAAGTGTTGGAGCTTCTCAAACTTGATGAGTGTTTTGTAGCCCTGAAGACCTCCTGGAGGACTCTTCCAAGGGAACTCACTCAGGCAAATGTTTCCACAGAGAGTTCTCACTGCTCAGAAAACAATGTCAGTGGTTTGAAGGAACTTTGGTGATTTGGTTAGGTTCAACTGGAAACCGTCCAGGCAATAACATACTTCAATCATGGCCCCCCACTCTTCTGGTTCCCCAACCACCACGCTCAAAAATCAACCAGCGTGCATCATGGCAGTGAGGGGATTTGAACCCATGTCACTCAGATCTTCGTCTGACATTCTTTCCACTGCTGATTCTAAATTTAATCAAAGCAAATATATTACTGAAGGTCCTGCTTCTCCACTCTCACGTGCCCTTCGGCCAGCCCCATTGCCTCCCCTATGCGTTCACGCCACTCCTGAAACACACCTTTTTATCCCCATAAAAAGGCCCTCTTACCTCCGGGATCTTGAAGAGGCCCAGTAGGGAGGCCATCTGCATTGAGATTCTGGAGTAGAGACTTCCAATGACCGAGAACACCTTTTCCTGTCTGCTGCATCTGTAGTTGGGGACCACTTGATCCCCCGTGGACAGAAACGACAGGCCTGCCTGGTAGGTCATTCTTGCAAAGTAAGTGTCCTCAAAGATGCGGAAGCCCAGTGTGATGTTGGGGAGGAGTGTCGGATCCTTGTTGATCTCACTGATGGCAAACACGAGGGCCAGGATGTGCTGGTAGTTTTTGGGCACCGGGCTGCAATAAGAGATACATGATATGGGCCAGTGGCAACACAAGGAATATAATGAAAGAGCTTCTGGTTGCAACAACAATTGCTTAGAAAGAAACCCCTGCAGACCTAAAGACTAGCTTTAGGTCCATTCATCAGATATTTGCATTTAAATGCCTTGCCCCTTCTCACAGAACAAAGCAACATTTGTAAAATTCTAACTGGCTCAGACCAAGAGTCTGTCAACAACAGCATCTTGTTTCTCCGAGAGCCTTCAGGATATCCCCGTGGAAAGACAATACCCCTTTCCTGCCATCGCCCTCCCCAGCACCTGTCATTCAGGGGGAGACTGCCAATCCAGGTCAATTTAGCTGATTCATTACTGTATTTTATATTTTGTAATTGTTGGTTTTAACTGAATGTTGGTTTTAAATTGCTTGTAAGCCACCCAGAGCCACTTCGGCGGGAGAGCGGGGTAGAAATTTAATAAATAAACAATAAATAAACAAATAATACTTTAATGTTTCAGGTTTTTCATCCTTGTACGACTCCGCTTATCTGTACATATTATACAATTCCACTCTGGGTGTCTAGATAAAAGTATTTAACAGGCTTTGCTGTTCTTTCGGTGTTTTATCCAGAATCACTACACATGAATTAGATAATAATTCAATATGTGGTCAATATCGTCATGTTTATCTCATTCACAGTGTCTCATTCCTTTCCAGATTCTCAACATAGAACCCAAACTACTGCTCAGGTCTGACGACACACAACCTGACAGTGTCTAACACTAGATTCACTACAGGACATAAGAAGAGCCCTGCTGGATCAGACCAGTGGTCCATCTAGTCCAGCATCCTGTCTCACAGAGTGGCCAACCAGGTCCTCTGGAGGACCAACAACAGGGCATAGAGGGATTCAGAGGTTGACTGCCTCTGAATGTGGAGGTCCCCCTCAGTCACCATGGCTAGTGGGCACTGATAAATATATCTTCTGTGAATCTATCTAATCCCTTTTTAAAGCTGTCTATGCCTGTGGCCATCACTGCATCCCCTGGCAGTAAATTACAGATTTTAATCACTCTCTGTGTAAAGAAGTATTTCCTTTTGCCCTCCTGGCAAAACTTACCGTTCAAGGTGGATGTTCCTGGGAGGTTTTTCAAAGGATGCAGGCGTAATTGTGGTCTTGAGGTAGGGCAAAATGCCACCAACAAGGAGGTCTCCTGGCCTGTAATATGCTTCTTGGAGCTCAAAGGGCCTGGTCAAGAGGCACTTGGTCCCCAGTGTCCTGTGCACAGCCCAAGGCAAGAGGCAAGAGGAGAACAGCACCCACATGAGTACCATTTTCACCTGGATCGCAGTCAACTGTGTGGACTTTCAGATGGTAGGGAGGGAGCATATGATGTCAATGTGCTTCTTGCCCACCCCAAACCTTTTGGAATCTTCCAGTTTATATGACATTCTTAACACAAACATGTTTTGTTCTGATCTGGGTATTGATTATTTTGAGCTTGGTAGATAGAAAACATCAGGGGCTCTGTGAGAATTACTGTGATTTTGCTAATTTCAGAGGAGAGAGATAATCATATCTTAGTAGAATAGGACTGTATTTGCACCTCAATCAGAAACAGATGTGTTTGTGTAACTGTGTGCTTCTCCATGGGGCAGACAGACTCAAGGGGGTGGACGTAGGCTGCCAGATTCTGAACTTGGGCCTGGATGAAGCTGACCAGCTAAAACCAAAATGGCATCTGGGGGGTGGTCCAAGGTGGTTTATCCCAATTGGATGGCTAGATTAGAGCCTGGTACTTAAAGACCAATGAGTTCTTCAGGGTATAAGCTTTCAAGAGTCAAAGGTCACTTTGTTGGATACCAATTTGATGGTTGAGTCTGAAACTAGAGTTGCAAGTTCCCCAGTGGGCGTGTGGGAGTTTTCAGCTAGAACTCAGAGTTGCAGCAAGAGAAAAATGAAATAAAAAATGCTGTCAGGCTCATGGCATGACATCACTTGCAGGGGTCATCTGGAAGTGATGTCTTTCTTCTCTAGGAATTGTCAGAGACTCTATGGTTTTACCATAACATTTCCAGTGATTACTAGAGAGGACTGACATTAATTCTAGGGGGTTTCCTGGAAGTGACGTCACACTGTCTCTTCCTCTCCCACATTCCCATCCCTCTTGTCTCCCACTGGTTGTGAGGCTGGGCTTTTATCCTACATATTGTTGGCAGAGTAATTAACACATCTACAGTGCACAACCTGACTAAAAAGTAGATACAGGTTAATTTGGGAACTAAGATACTTGATAGGAAAGAGGAGAGACAGAGATAGGTTCCTAACTATAAATCTCTAGCTGAGAGGAGAGAGTAAAACTAAATGTGGCATTTCCGAGAAGAAGGGTGAAATTGCCCTTAGAGTAGCAATCTGGCAACAGACAAAGAATCGCCTTCAACAGGAGAGAGAAGGTGCTGTGCTCACTATCCTATATAATTGTCTTCTTGCTGCTCCCTTCAGGGTCCTCTCATCTGTACATCAGACCTTGTCTTTTCCAACACCCCTTCTCAAGGTCTACTGTACAAAGTCCATGAGATACATCTTCTTACACAGACTTTCAAACTTTTCTTGAAAAAAAATATGGCTTGGTGAACCCACTAACAAACCATTGTTGGTGATGAATTTTGTTCCGTTCATGGTTCAGAAACTCAAATGGCCACTGAAGTTTGCAAACTGCAGCCCAGCCATGAACCTTCATGAACTTTTAAGGCAGTTCATGGACATTTGTGCGCAGCAAAAAACAGGGGTTTTAACCTGCCCATGAAAATTACCAAAACATCCCCATGAGCACCACTAAAAGATCAGGAACAGTTGAGCGATGGGGGCTACCCGCTCATGTGGCTCAGCTGCTTCAGGCTCAAAAGAGCTGAACCTGCTCCTGTGGCTCAGGTTCTTAAGGGGGCTTTCTTGGGCAGTGCTGGCTGCCCAAGAAGAGGAAGAAGAGAAGAGATTGGATTTATACCCCGCTCTTCACTATCCAAAGGAGTCTCAGGGCAGCTTACAAACTCCTTCCCTTCCCTTCCCCACAACAGACACCCGGTGAGGTAGGTGGAGTTGAGAGAGCTCTGACAGAAGCTGTTCCTTTTCAAGAACAGCTGTGCCAGAACTATAGCTTGCCCGAGGTCATCCAGCAGGTGCGAGTGGGGAATCAAACCCAGTTCTTCCAGATTACAGTCTGTGCACTTAACCACTACACCAAACTGGTATAGCCCCTTTAAACAGCTGAGCTGCAGGAGAAGACTGCTCAGTTGTTTAGATTGGAAACACCTGAACTCTTGGGGCAGCCTACCCCCATGACTCAGCTGTTTGGAGCACGAAACAACTGAGCCACAGGAGCACTGCCCCTGTGGTTCAGCTTTTTTTGAAACAAATTTCACAAACCCAATTCAGTTCGTAGGCGAGCTGACTCAGAACATGGGGTCCGTGATTTGGTTCATGGTTTGCCCACAAACCATGGACTCAGTTGCATTTTTGTGGTTTGTGCCTCTCCCTAATCAAAACAGTGGTCAATCATGCTCATTTCAAATACAATGCCCGGCAAACTCTCAATGTTCTCATGCCTTGTACAGGGGAGTGCAGAACTCCTTGCTGCAGTGAACGCCCTTCTAAAACTGTTTACTTCCAAAGAAGACAGATAAGCTGCTGGCATCATCCTCATCATCCTGCTGGCACAACAGTATATTTGACATTTGACAGTGCAATAAGGTTTGGTACACTGGCAATGTTAGGTTGGCATTCTGTATCTTCAATTCTCTGTTTAATTAGCCATTTTGCTTCTTCAATTCCACAAGATAAGAGTACCAGGGGAGAGAATCCAATTCTGTTGATATATCTTTGAGCAGCCTTGAGCCAATTAGATTAATAATTGTCTTGAAGTATCAAAGGGAACAGGCCTTGAGGGTTAAGATGACCTTTTAACCACATATAGAAGGATAGGATATGCACCCTGGCTTCAGTCCTTCCTTATAATATCTGTCTCGAGTCTTATCCAAGCATTGGATACACATCTAGGGACTTGTAGAATGGCTCTTAAAAACTTTGATTGTACTCTTTCTTGCAGATCGAAACATGAGATAGGCGGTCCTGAGAATGTTCCATATAGCAGTTGTGCCAAAGTTTTGGCCTTATATAATTTAAGGGCTGCAGGAACAGAATGCCGCCCATGAAGTAAAAGAAATTTCACTGTGGCATTTGCCTGTCTTTCTCACTGATCAGTGGCATACTTGCTATGATTAGCCCTAGAGCCCAAAGCCTGTAAATCTACACCAAGATGTTTACAACTATTGACTTGCTCAATCCGATTGCCATTAATCGCCCAAGACCTAGGCTTTGGATTGCTCCCAAAAGCTACAATTTATAAGTAAGAAAATCTATCTAAAAACCTTATATAGCTTCAAGTCTTCTACCAACACTTGCATGTGTTGATAGAAATCTTAATGCTATATTGAACTTGCGAATAAGAAGAGAAAGAAAGCAATGTTTGTAGTTCTGGATACAGAGAAAATGTTCAACAATTTAATATAGCCTTTTATATTGAATGTATTACAAAACATGGCTTGTGTTCCTAAATTCTGGAACTGGATGCATGGTATATAGTCGAATCAACAAGCAAAGATTTTAATTAACGGGAAATTAACAGAAGCAATTTCAATCGAAAAAGGTACACATCAGGGATGTCACCTATTATTATTTATATTACCAATAAAGATTTTAGCTATAAAGATTAGACAAGATGATTGAAATAAGGGAATAAAAGCGGATTATGTAGAATTCGAAATGAAAAGACAACGTGGTCTTAACAGTCCTGGTTGCCCAAGAATCGTTACAACATGTAATGGAACGTACTGAAGAATTTAGATCCTTTTCAGGCTGTAAAATTTACAGAAAGAAAGAAGACAAAATGATAATTACATTTATAACACAACAACAACAAGAGATTATAGAGAGAACAGAGTGCTCAGCAACTACTGATCCCATTACATATTTGAGAATAAATGTGACTGGGCAAAACTATCACCTTTTCAAAAATAACTAACAGAAAACTTGGAAATTGATACGAATAGATATATCTAGATGGAGAAAATTAAATATCTGGGAAGAATGTTTGCAACCAAAATGAATGTGCTGCCAAGGTTAAACTTTCTGTTCCAAATGTTACCTATATACAGAGAAGAAAGAATATTGAACGAGTGGAAGAGACAGAGAAACCAATTTATATGGAATGGCAAAAAGAACCAAGAATAAGCTTCAAAACACCACACGCGAAGGAAAAAAGAGGAGTATTAGCAGCTCCAAACATACAATTATACTACCAAGTGGCGGGCCTGGTCTGGATTGTGGACTGGATTAAAACTTGTTTTAAAATGCTTTGTTGTTGGTATTTGACCCCCACAACACTGGTTGAAGTTTCAGGAGGTTCTGACATTTGTTGAAAGTGCGAGAAGACAAAGGGATCCTTTATTTACCTATAGTGGACCTGCCCAGTTGTTTAAAAAAGAAATCTGGAGCAGTGTGGGTAATGAAATTGAAGTTATTTTGCAACATACATTTAATTGTCCACCAAAGGTGTACTAATGATTGCCCCACAAGTATGAATTGGGCTCAGGATTGTTTATTATCTCAGGTGGTTGTTGCAGTGGCAATGGTATTGGCACAAAAATGGAAGGGCCTGTTGGTGCCATATTTGGGACTGTGCTTGCATTTTTTAAATTTATATTTTTTTAAATTTTTGTATACACATATTAAGTAACAATCAAAATACAAAATAATCAAACACAAAAAAATAACAACCTTCTGTATGAAATCTTATAGGCTTATCAATCCAAGAATCTACAATTAGTGAAGTATAATAAATAATCAAGTAACACATACAATACACAAGGTAAACAGTCAAGCCATGTTTCAAATTCAAATATGAACTATCATAGAAAAACCATATCCTGATACACTGAGTTGCTAGGTAAGATGTCACGTTCAGTAAAAAACCTTAATTCAGGGAGCCACATCTCTGTAAATAAGGAATAATGTGACATTTGAGATTTCATTTTTAAGTTGTGAGTTATTTTCCCCGTTATAAACTGATCCCAAATTTTCTTGTACCACTCTGACATCGTGGGGGTTCTAAGCAATCTCCATTCTGAAGTTATAGCTGGCTGAGCAGAAGCCAATAATAAACAAATTAGCTTCCAAGTGGAGTCTGAGCATTCTCTGTCCAGCCAATATTGTAAAATATTTCA